GTTAGTTGGTTCCCTCAAATTATACAGGAAGAAAAGGAACCAAATTTATACTCCAAGGTTAAGATGGATGCTCTGAATTATCTTGCTTTGTTACCCATCCATGTCTTAGGGTTTCCATTGCTGTGAAGAGACACCATGATCAAAGCAAGTCTTATTAGGGAAAACGTTTAATAGGGTTGGCTCACTTACAGTTCAGAGGTTCAGTCCATGTACCATCATGGTGGTACATGGTGGCATGCAGGTAGACATGGTGCTGGAGAAGTAGCTGAGAGTCCTACATCTTGCAGGTAAGAGGAAGTGGTCTGTCTCACTGGGTAGTATCTTGAAATATATGAGAACTCAAAGCCCACCCCCAACAGTGACACACTTTCTCCAACAAGGCCACACCCACTCCAACAGGACCACACCCACTCCAACAGGACCACACCCACTCCAATGCAATGCCATTCCCTTTGGAGGCCATTTTCTGTCAAAGCACCACTATCAGCAACTGTAAATTTTTGATGTCTAAAGTGTATTTATGAAAGCTAGAATGGAAAATAAGTCTTAATTTGCTCACTAGAGCCAATCAATTGGTGCATGGCATCTCTGTGGGGAAGGGTGACGAGGCTGTCTTCAAGCCCAGTAGGAAAAACTGCTTTGGTCAATTTACACTGGTGAAATGGAGGGTGCTATGTTTTTATGGGGCATGATAAAATTATACTGCAAGATGATTCTTAGCTTCATGTAGAACAGACTTTTAGATTTGTCACAGGGAACTACAGGCCATCCTGAGATAGTTCCTCATTTACTATCACACTGTTACTTGGTGAAGCTTTCTCTTCTACTCTTGCCATCTTGAAGGAAAGAATTCAGTTGAGAAACAGCTAGATCAAGCAGAAATTTATTTAGCAAAGCTAAGTGTCAGTACTCTAAAGAGGGATTGGAACAAAAGACCTTAAAGGGAGAAACTGAAGGGGGAGTTATGAATTGATTGCTTCAAAAGCTTTGATGATTGTTTATCTCCTCTAAGGTGTTTCCTTCCCATGATCTTGAAAAGACTGTAAGTTGGTGGGGGTTTCAAATCTGTGATGCAAATGACATTATGTGGAAGCCAGCATCTTTTGAAGATGCATATTCTTTGTTAGTGTACACATATGACAATTGGGCAGGTTTTCTTGGAGCTTTAGTTTTGAAGATGGCAGGAAGAACCTAAGGGTAGCTTCCAAGATGCTTAATCACAATGTGGCATTTGGACCCTTAAGAAACATGGCTTCCAAGGGCCAGCTGCAATTTTTCCTAGGTTACTTACATCTAACTTTGTGACTGTCCAGTCTTGATATCTCTATATTTTGAGATAGCCATATTAAGAAGCCAGGAGTTCTGATTCTAATTGCCTTCCCTTGTCCTTAGCACTATGGGAAAAATCAAAAATGGTTCTTAGAGATCAGTGGTTTCCAAAACTGAGTGGTGGCCCCTTTTGTGTTGATTGACCCTTTCACAGGGGTCCCATACCAGATATCCCACATTTCAGTAGCAAAATTGCAGTTATGAAGTAGCAGCAAAAATAATGTTGTGGTTGGGGGTCAGCACAACACGAGGAACTGTGTTAAAGGGTCGCAGCATGAGGATGGTTGAGAATCACTGTTACAGAGTGTTCATATAGGAGCAGATGACCTTTAAGTATTCTTGCTCATTTGCAATGGCTTGAGAATAAAAGACTGTCAGCCAGATTTGTTCAGCATTATAAAGTTCCTCCCTACAGAAAAGAAAATTCATTCTTGAAGACTGTAGGACTTAAGATGGTTGATACCTTGAAGAGAATTCACCACAGAGTCCCCCTGGGGCATCAAAAAACTTGGACAGTCTGGACAGTGGTGGCACACGCCTTTAATCCTAGCACTTGGGAGGCAGAGGCAGGTGGAGCTGTGTGAATTCAAGATCAGCTCAGTCTACAAGAGCTAGTTCCAGGACAGGTTACAAAGTGACACAGGGAAACCCTGTCTCGAAAAACCAAACCAAACCAAACAAACAAACAAACAAAAAAAACCCGAAAACCCCAAACAAGGAAAACCATCAAAATAACAACAAAACCAAAAACCAAAAACCAAAAACCTTGGACAGTGTTCACAGAGACCTCTTCCTTAACACACAGAAGAGGACATAGTAGCTGTTTCCCTACAGTGAGATGACTTACAAGGACACAGGTAGACTCAAGAAGCCTAATTAGTCAATGACCTTTTGTATCAAAGGAGACGTGGATGTCATTTTACATCTCTTGGAACATGCCAGTCACCACAGATGTGAATTGGTTGTTAGGTGGATGTGACTATTTATAGGGATGGGTATCTCATTCACTGGCTGTTCCCTCAACTGGGGCCAATACATGGCTACTAATAATGCCCCCACATTTGTTAATAGACAAGAGGTAGCTAGCCCTGGTTTCATACTTAATGGGTGGAGAGGCCCTTGTGAACCAGAATATCATATAATCTATAATCTATAATCTCTCTCTCTGTCTCTCTGTCTGTCTTCTATCTGTCTGTCTATCTATCTATCTATCTATCTATCTATCTATCTATCTATCTATCTATCTATCTATCTATCTATGCATGCTGAGGCAGAAAGATAGTGCTCGCCAGCCTATCACTTAAGTGTTTTATTGGTTAAGTGCCTTATATATCACTGAACAGTCTTTGCCTCAAACTATAAGCTGTGTACTCATTGGGTTTTTTCCCTCCTTGAAGTCTAAGGCAGGACACCCTGTCCTCTGGGGATTTTCTTGATCTACTCTAATCCTCTTTTCCTATTGATGAATGGATGTAGGCATTTGGGGAGTCAGTGCAATAGCCCCATGATGAATGTTTTAGAACCTACACTATTGTCAGTCACTGCTGTTGAATATACACATTATGCAGGTACCCTTGCACACACACTGGTTGCTAAAGTCTTATAGAGGCATTGGAGACTGATAGTTTCACTGATGAGTTTCATTTCTTTTTGTGCTTGTCCTCAAATCTCTTGACTCAGCAGAGATGTCCTGAAGACCCATGGCTGAATTGTTCTTACAGCCTGTGTTGCCACCAGTATGCCCCTGCCTCCAGTGCAGGGAAGAGAGTAGAAGGACTGAGGACATTGAGTTAGCCTGTGTCCGTCCTTCAATGTGTACCCATGAATGAATGGACAATTTGAGTAACACACATCAGTTAAATGTAATCACAGTGTGTGACTGCAAAGAAAGCAACTTCTAATTCTGAAAACCACAGCAAGCCAACAGGAAGCCAGTTCTTTGCAAAGGGGCAATAGCTCTCATCAAAAGACATTTTGTTTTGTAGAGCTGTGTGGTTGTTTGGAAAATGTGGACAGGATTTATTGATCATGTGGAACCAAACTTGTGGAATGTTGTGACTGTGCTGTGCTGAGGCCTGAGGAAGTACCTCTGTAGGTGTATGACTTTTGCCTCAGAGTGGTGTTGGTCTGCGGTCCAGAAAAAGAATGAGTTCACTCTGACGTCCTCTCCATTCCATGATTCATATATGCATTGGCTTGGACAACAGAATTTTGTGGAAAAACAAATCATAAGCCCTTTGCCCTCTTCTGTTCATGTCAGTATGGCTTCTTAGTTGCATTTTCAAATATGGAAAGTCACAGCCTTCCTCACCAAGAGCTGTAAATAATCATGTACACTTTGACAATGTTGGAGGGAATGCCCCAGGAATGTTGATGGGGAGGGCATTGGTTTGTAAGTTTTCAGGAAATTCTCACTGTTTGGTTGGGAAGACAAAGAGGCAGTGAAATGCATTGGGTCAGATCAAGGAGCATCTTTAGAATCATCCAATGAAAGTGTCTCCCCTGGGCTCATATATGAATCATGGAATGCAGAGGACCTTCAGGTCACATGACCTACCAAGGTTGCAAGTAGATACATCAGTATGTGAGCCACAGCCTCTGTTTTCTAATACTCAGTTCAAGGCAACTTAGTCATCTCCCTTCTCCCCTTGTACCAATAAAACTACCCCTTAAGGACAAAAATCTACAGGAGTACAGTATACAATGTAATCACAGTCAGTCACCTTGGATGCTTTTAAAACACTTGTGTCTAGATTTCATTTAGACTTACTGGATTGATGATGGCCTGGGAACCTGTGGTCTCATATACTACTCCTCAATGATTCTCCTGCATATTATGTTTCAGAATCATCCATAAAGAGTCTAGAAGAAGGCAGGTAGTGTGTGGTCAGAAAGGACAACTAACTTTTAACATCACTGAGTTTATCTTGAAGACACAGTTATTCAGGGTTCCTTGCTGTTCCTAGTGCCAGGCATGTGGTGAGCCAAATGGAGCCAATGATAGCTCCAAGAGTAATTATACTGGTGTTCCTGTTTTTCTAATGCCTGCTTTGGGCTTAAGTATAACTATTAATATTGGTTCTTTGCCCCCCAACTGGCAATATTTATTTGCTGTATATTACTCTGCTGTACTTTGTGGAAGGTAAATGATACCTTGCAAGCACCCTCCAATGTACAGGCCCACTTCAATCTCTGTTGATACACAGTCCCTAGCCTCCAAATGTCTCCCAACGAGTCCACAAATAGTTCGGTGAGAGTCTCAATTACCTCTCTGCACAGGTAATTATTACTTCTGCCATTTAAGAGAAATTTCAGTACATTGCTTATAGCAACAAATTTAGGAGCACATTTCTGCTGTACCTGCTTCTATTCATGGTGTAGATTTAAAATTCCATTTGTGTCAGGGGATAGTGCTGAACTGTCCTTCAGCATGAATTTGCCTGATATTATATAAAATAATAACATGAGCTCATTTTCTTCCCCAATTTCCAAGAGACTTAAAAGCAAGACCCTTCCCAAACATCCAATTTACCCTGCACAGGGAGGGGGTCTATGTTCCATTGTAGACTAGTAACTGAGCAGTTCTGTGGTTACTGGGCTAGTAAATGTGATGGCATAGCATTTTGGAAGCCTCATTGTGGACATGATGGATTCTGTGGTATGTTTTGCAGCATGCTCTTTCTGACAAGGCGTGCATAAAAGTCTTTGACCCAAAGACAACCTGCTTGCAGGAATGCCTAATCACCACCTTCCAGGATGCCTATTTTGTTTCAGAAAGTTTTGAAGAAGCCAAAGAAAAGATGAGGTAAACTTGCTTCTCTTTCTTCTAGAAAATAACTTGTAAATTTCCCTGACTGTTCCATTTCTCATACCAATGGTGGTTGATTTGTGTATCCTTCTATTTTCGTTTATTCTACAGGGACTTTGCAAAGTCAATTACCCGTCCCTTCTCAGTATACTTCAACCCCTACACACAGAGCATCGAAATTCTGAAAGACACCAGAAGTATTGAAAATGTGGTGCAAGACCTACGCAGTGATCTGAACACCGTGTGTGATGCCCTGAATAAAATGAACCAATATCTGGGGATTTGATACCTAGAGCCAGTGTTGTCAGCATGAGCTTTTGGGGGCTTAGCAACCATTCAGTCAGTGTTATCTAACAGCGGAACTTTCTGTGTCATGGTTGGCTAGTGAGCATGCCATTCTGTGTGTCTACACCTCTGTGTAACTTATGGTGTTAATATAAACAAAAATACTCTTAAGTAAACCCATGCAGATAACCATTCATCATTTGAAAGATTGTGATATAGTTAAAATATCTCAAATAGATTTGACATTTCTGATTAGTGAACAACTGCAACTTAAACTGTGTCTTTAAAATTTGTAGCAGAAATTCCTGTCATGATTCTAGGTGTTGACCTTTTCGTCTTTGGACCTGTGACTTTCCTCTGTGTTCATTAGAGAAAATGAAAATAGTCACAAAGTAGTTAGTGCCTATTTTCAATAATATCGGTGTTATTTGACACAAACTAGAGTTGCTCATCACAGCCACAAAAGATTTAGTATTCTACTTGAGGGGTTGTTCAGAAACACAGTGGTTGGCATGATTTTGAACTGAGTGTTCATCCCATGCAAGAAAAGAAAGCTTCTTACAAACAGGATGTATAGGTTCCAGTGACCTTGTAGAAACTGATGTGTGGCAAGTTTCCTGAAGTATTTGGAAGGAAACACTTTGAGACCATTTGGAAAGCTTAAGCAGAAGGGGAAAAACATCTTGGGACTGTGAACGTATTGTTGGAAAAAAATGAATTATCATCTTGGGCAGCTGACTCATCTCTTTAGACTAAGACTCGTGAATACCACAGGGATGTAAGTACCATCTTCGATTCCAAAGATTTGGAAACAAAGGGGTTTGTACAGTTTGGCACAGTGAAGTGTGTAGCAGTCATAATCCATTGAACTTTCATTTTGGACTTCTGCCAATTCCACTGTAGCATACATTTGTGTTTATGTGTTGGCACAGAATGAATATTAATGTTTATAAAATTAATGCTTATCAATAAATGGAAGCTTGCCTCCAATAGGATATTCTATTATTTCATCTTCCAGCTCTAAAAAAGGTCCTATCTGTGGGGAGTGGTTTATTTTATCAAAGTCTGGGTAACTCTAGGCAAACACGAGTGATTCGACACAAATTTATGGTGGTCCTTGCTATAAAAGGTTAACAAATCAAATGTCTAAGTGAGCAAATGGAAAACCACTGAATTAGTCTTCGGATGGGTTCCCTCGCTGAACAGTCCCCCTGACTCTGCTTCTTTGGGGAGGTAGTACAGAGATTAGATGGAGTGGGAGAGGATGGGAACTGGAAGAATATCAACGAGACCTTTAGTTTAGTGTCTTAGTTACTTTTCTATTGTTGTGATAAAACACCACGACCAAGGCAATATATAAAAGTGTTAAATTGGTGTTAACATTCTGGATGGTTAAATGATGGTGAAACAAAGGAACATTAGCAGAAACACTTGAGAGTTCACATTTCAAACTACAACCAGGAGGCAGAGAATGGCGTGAGTCTTTTGAAACCTTAAAGCCTGCTCCTCAGTGACACACCTCCTCCCACAGAAGACTTCTTAATCCTTCCCAAACAGTTCCATCAACTGGAGACCAAGTATTCAAATAGATGAGCCTATGGGGCTATTCCACTCCCTGGTCCCCATATGCTCATAGCCATATTGTAAATCATTTAACCCAACTTTATAAGTCCCCACAGACTTCTAGTTCAAGAATCTAATGTCTTTTCTGAGACTCAAGGTAATATCTTAATTGCTATCCCCTGTAAAATCGGAAGGCAAATCACAAACTTCTAACCCACAGTGGCACAGAATATACATTGCCATTTTGAAGGGAAGATTTGGGGTAGAGGGCAGCAAAACAATACTGTTCCAGTAAGATCAACACCTAGCTAGGCACACTCCATATACTGTAGTTCCATTTCTGATGTCTGCGGGCTTAGGTGGCTCTGCCTTCCGGCTTTGCTGCCTGCAGCCTACTTTTCTCTTTCAGGATGGTTCCACTTGTGGTCTGCAGACGTCTCACAGTTCTGACATCTCCACAATCTTGGGGTCCCCAACTCCATTCAGGTTTTTTACTTTCATGACTTCATGCAATGGCCTACGAAGGCCTCCATGAAGGGAGATCCTTGCCATACACGTTTCCTGGCCTCAGTGACTCCCTGTAACCCTGGGGGAAGATTTCACAATCCCTTTACTTACTTTAAATCCAGCACCACAGGAATGATGTTAAGAAGTCTAGATACCTGCTGGGATGGAGCCTGGCCCCTTGAATCATATTCTCAGAAGCTTGTGTGTGTTGTTCTTCTTCCAGGAACAGCAAATTCCTTAAGCCATGTTCTTTATAATTTGAAGTTTAGCTGGGTTGGTTGTTGTGCTGAGAGCACATTTCCATTTATTCCAATGAGGATTTGGCTGTCTTTATGGGAGCTAATCTCTTAACTGTTAACAAGTGTTAGCTGTGGCAACAAGCTTGCCAGTAAGCTGGCCAGTGCCTTTTTCATCTCCAAACTATACATTTGATATTTCTTTCTGTCCCAGGCTGTCTTGAAATGTCCATTGAAGAAACTAGTCCATTACTTTCAAATTTAGCCTCAGGCAAGTTCTTAGGACAGAGTGGAAGGCAGCCATATTGCTTGCCAGAATATGTACAGGAATGGTCTCTAGGCCAGTTGCTAGTATTGTTCTATCTGAATCCTCTTGAGCTGGGCTTCCACAGTCCATACATCTCTCAGGACTACCATCTTCCAAGCTCTTAGTAGGGTGGCTCATTAAGTTCCACTTACAACAGTCAACCACTTTTCTAATCCCAAGTTTCAAAGTCTTCTGCATTCCTCCTAAAAATAAAAGCATGGTCAGACCTGTCACAGCAATACCCCACTCTTGGTACTTGTTTCTGTATTAGTTTACTTTTCTATGCTGTGATAAAACACCAAGCTGTCAAGACAGCTTATAAGGTGTTTAATTGGGTTGATCAGCTAAGAGCTCATATCATAAACTGCAAGCAGGAGGCATAGAGTGCACTAGGAATGGCAGCTTTGGAGCTTGCCTCCATGGCACGTGTCCTCCAACAAGGTCACACATTCCCACCCAAACAGTTCCACTAAGGCTGGGAACCAAGTATTCAAATATATGGGGACCATTACCATCCACATCAACACAGTAGGAAACCCATTTGGAATGGAGCCTTGAGCAATTTCCAAGGATGTCCTTTTAATGGCCCATTAATAACATACAATTTAAAATCAATTAAGATTCTTATATGGGACTCTTGGTCAGATAACTTAGGTATCAATATATAGAAGAGAAACATAAGAAATAGTTGAAATACATATCAGTGAAATGTATTTCATCTGAGATGAAAATTCAGGGCCTGGGAGTGTATCTTTTAGCTTTTTTTGGCAGAGCACTTGCCTAGGTTTGATCTACTGCACCACAGAATAAAAACCCAAACATGCCAAAGACCAACAACAAACAGGTAAGGGTAAAAGAAACATTTCAGAAGCTGGACCACTGGGTTCATAGCTACAGAAAGCCCATCATTTCAGAAGTATCCTTGGAACAGCTGGGCTCTTGTGAAGACATTTAGTCTACAGAATGTGAAGATCCTGCAGCTTGTTTGCTACTCTGGGTGCTTTGTGAAGTTACTGGTGGTGAAGCATTGATGATCAGAGACCCGGGAAACCAAGTCAAGCAGCTCTAGAATGATCAGGCAGCTGTATATTTTAATAGTTTTACAGAGCCATTGATACAGATTTTCATGCTTTATTTTACTAGATCCAAATGGCCCTGGATATTTCCTGATATTAACCCAGAATAATAACCTGGAACAATAAAGTCCAAAGTGTTTAGAGTAAGTTGCTGAATTTTCTTGGAGGAGAAAACTGGCTAAGAAACCCTAAATATCTGCCATCCCTGCTGTTCCTGTGACTGAGGGTAGCTTCAGATACACATCCTGGAGAGTGTTGTCCCATTCTTTACCATTAAAAAAACAGACAAACACATAGCCATAAGTAGCCAGTGGACTGTCTGCTTGAAGCTCTGTGAAAGGACAACTTCTCAATCAAATGTACTTGAGGAAGAATTATATTTAATGGTAAACAAGTCCCCTAGACAAAAATAACATTCGAGGTGTCTTCTGCTTGGCTGCTTGTGAAATCTTCAGTTTTCTTGCATGTGCAAGAATCTATCCTCTTTCAAAAATAGAAGAGCTGCAAAGTAAACAGGCTTTCCCACAGAGCTTACATAGGTACCATACAAGGAGGTGAAATTAAATGATGCTTTTTAGATTTGTTCTCCATTTAGAATAGCAGTAATCATGGTTTTCACCCTGTGAAACAATGGAATCATGGTTTTCATTTGTTGCAAGCATTTAACATGTAAGTGCCATTACAGCTAATGGTGGGAAAAATCCTATAAAATTTAATAGCCATTATAGGAAAAGTGTTGGCTGAAAAAGTCCTCGGGTGGAAATAGTGCAACAAAAATGATCACAGGCAGCCTCTTGTCATGTCTGGTACCTGCTCTGTGAAGCCATTTGTCTCAATTATGCCTCGTGACTTTAAGCTAAATTAAGTAGATCCAAGGGCAATTATAAATTTAAAGACAGTTGCTCACTGTCATTGCATAGTGAGTCATCATTTCATTTTGGCATTTCTTCTGACTTCTATAATCAGCTAATCAGAAATCAACGTATATTTCAGAGCAAAATCAAGTTTCTTATGCATTACTATTTGCGAAAGATAGGCAAAAATCTGATTATAGGCTTAATTTTGAACATTTCTGTATGTTATGAGATAACTAGGGTTTCTAGTATATTCTGTTTACTTGAACCAGTAAAAACGCAGTGTACTATTTATAAATTTTCCTCTTAAAAGTAGGAAATTTGACTAGCATTTTAATACTTTTTGACACATTAGTGGAAGGCTTGTGAGGTAGGTTTCTAGCTTAGTCTCATTTGTTTAGTGTGTAATTTAGAAATTACGCTTTGGAGGGACTCGATATCTGTGCTTGTCTTACTTGCACAATAGTAAATGGGCCTGATCCTAATAAATGTAAAATATTGAAACATTTACCAACATAAAGAGTCTAAAATGAAGAAAAAAAGTGTGCTTTAATACAGAAGCAAATAGAAATACAAAGTTTCATTTTCAAATGGAGTCATGGCTCACATCATCTCATTTTCTTCATTCGAGGAGGAAAACATTAACACGAGATGCAGTTGTCCTCCGATTCATTTGATCTAATTTTCAACTTCGAGAGTGTCGGGCACTGATGCTTGCTCTCGTGAACCTTGTCTGACTTATAATGAAAAAGAATGCAGCCTAGAGTTTTCGGGTGTGTTTCAACTTGTTATTTTCTTCTTCAATTTCCAAAGATGGTGTCTTAGTCTGAGAAATGATTTTTATGTAGATTGCCATATTGTAGGAAGAGACAAGAGAATTAACAGTGGAGCACTGCTATTCAACATTAGGTTTGTGAATTTCAGAATAACTGATGAAACATGAACTGGTGATGTCTTTATACTATTTAGCATCTCAAAACATTTGTTTTCATTAGCTTAGACCATACCAGGACATATTTTGGAATGTGAGGATGGAGTGGGGAGTAAGGCAGAGGAGGTTTATACCCACTTCACATTTTCATTATAGTGGGAAAGACACAGGTAAGAAAACAACCCATGTGATTTAAAAGGATGACATATTTTATGAAGTAAGTAATCACTGTGATCCAAGAAAAAGTAATGGGGTTTCTATAATGTTCTCTGTCTTGTGATAAGAAGTCTCCTCGATGAGGGGTAAGAACTACAGTTATATGTGGGTATAAGGGCAGATTATTTAGAGTGTAGGTAGGTATTATATTTGTTTAGTAAAGTAGTGCTTGTCTCTTCTCCTCCAAGATATATTATTTCACTAGCCCTAGACCATATTTCCAGTAGCAGTCATACTTTCCCTCCTGGTGAATGGGCATTAAGTCCTAAAAAGCTGATGATTACTGTCAATGTATGCATG